AGAGTCAATCACAAAGGGGATCCTGTAAAATTAACGGTGTCTTGCTCTGCACAATAAATGCAAGATCTGCATCTGGGAAGTCAACAGTAGAGTGCAGTTGGATCCATTTTCTACATAAAATATTGATCTTGCAGTAAAATGCAGATTCAATGCCTTGTGCTCTGCATTTGAGCCACTTTAGAGAAATATTTTGCTCATGGTTGCTTGTGTTTAAAAAATAACTATCTGTTTACCACTAAGTCAGTGGTTGGCTGACTTACTTAACCTTTATTTTGATACCATTTTCAGCCTGGTCTGAAATCTAACTTTTTTTTCTTAAAAAAAACGATCTTTTAAACATCATTTGCTTTTAGTGCTTTTACCCTGTCAAATCAAATAATGATGAGTTACGGTGCAATATAGAAACATAGGAACCGGAGTAGGCCATTCAGCCCCTCGAGCCTGTTCTGCGATTCTATTAGATTATGCTGATCTGTACCCCAACTCCAATTACCCAACTTTGCCCCATATCCCTTGATACTCTTCCCTAACAAAAATCTATCCACCTCAGTCTTGAAAAATAACATGTATGTCACAGCTGCCGACAAGAACAGCCATCACACATGACGATAATTACTTATGATGCAGGTTGGAGCAGAGTGCCTGTGTGTCAGTGATCTAACTCTGGTTACCAGAGGAATTCTGAATCAAGATTCGAACGTCCCGACTGAGAAATCCCAATTCAGATCGCTGTGGTTTAGATTTATTTTAACAACAGATCCAATAAACCCTGTAATATTTACTGAGTAATTGTGTTGCAGTATCTGCCACTGTCACTCTGGTTAGATGCACTGCAGAGTGACTATAACACACGTCACAATAACACAAATTTGGCTATAGTGTGATCGCACTGTGGACCCGTTCATTTTGCATGCTTCCCACCTGCCTGCTATGTTCATTAGGTTGCTCTTGATGTCACTTCCAGAGTTAATGTGCAAAGGAATCCGTGAGGTCAGGAGTGACCTAATGACCCAGAAGACAGACATTCTAGCTTCCCTCGGTAAGAAAAAGGCCAACTTCCGGGTCATCAGATTGCTGTCTATGTCCTTCCTGCTTCGTGTATGTATATAAGCAGGACATGACATTGCCCCAATCCTGCTTTGCCTGGGTTCAGATTGTTCCTGAAGATTTTCTCTTTGACTGTGCCTACACTCCCTGACAGGGTGTCAAACTATGCCACCGTTAAACATTCAGAGACATTACTGAGCGTGAAAGGTGCTATATAACTTCATGTTGTTGATGTTCTATAGTGAGCCTGTATGTATTGGGACATTGTGGACCAGCATGGTGTTTGAGTGTCAACACTCAGTATTAGAGGTTTATCAATATTTTTTAACATTCTGATAATAATAATGCTTGCATTTGATATAGCGACTTATTACGTTGTTGAGACGTCTCAAATCACTTCACACAATATACTGTAAAGTGGATTGACTGTGTATTTTTGTGGGCAAAATGATTCTTTGGTTGTTCTTTTGCAGTGCGCTAGTACTAATTAAACAAATAACATTACCCTTTCACATAGTTTTCAGTTCTTGGCTGCCGGGAAAGTCCTGATTGCTCCATTGATGAACACCACAATTGATCATATAGATCATACAGATTTGAAAGTGTCTGGTTGAATCCCTGATTTGTGGTGAGTTAACTGATTTTAGCAGATAGCGGCAAAGGGATTAGGATTCAACTTGCACTCGTGAGTTAGGAAGGGAACCATTAATCAGCAAGTTCAAGTTCGTTTTCACAATCGTCATGCTAAAGTCTAACAGACATTGGTGTCTACTTTGCGAGATTTGCTAAAGGATTTGTAAATAGTGATTCTCAGATGCATCACAACTGAATTTCCACTCCAGACACTCCAGAATTTCACTTGAAAGGTAGCATATGATATAGCGCCTTATCTGTTGTCAACATTTCTCACAGTGATTCCCAGGATTTACTGCAGAGTGCAGTGACTATACAACAACAACGACATTGCATTTATAGAGCGCCTTTCACGTCGGGAGGACGTCCCAAGGCGCTGGACAGTGGGGTCGGGACCCGAGCAAGGGGGAAATGGTCAGGGTGAGGGGAGGGAAGGGAGGGAGCGAGGAGGGGGTGGAGAGTCAAGAGGGGAGTTGAAGGCACGGTCAAAGAGAAAGGTCTTGAGACCGGCCTTGAAGGAGGAAAGGGAGGAAGCAGCGAAGGCACTGGTGGATGGAGTTCCAGAGCCTAGGGACTGAGAGGCTGAAGGCCCGGCCACTGATGGTAGGGCGGTTAGGGCGGAGGATGTGGAGCAGACCGGAGCCAGAGGAACGGAGGGTACGGGCAGGTACGTGGGGGGATAGTAGGTCGGAGTGGTTTTGTGGGTGAATGCATTAGGAAATCTGTGCACAGCAATTTCCCACAAACAGCCATGGAGTGAATGACCAATGTGCTCTGGGGAAATTGTTGGCCAGGACACCAGAGAAGCTCCTTTCTCTTTTCGAATAGTGGCATGAGTTCTTTAACATCCACCTGAACAGGCAGCCAGAACCTTGGTTTAACGTCTCAATTAAAGGACAGTACTGCTAACAAGGCAGCTCCCACCATCAGTGCCCTGGAGTGTTAGCCTCGACTGTGAGCTCAGGCTAACATGGGCCTTGAACCCACTACCTTCTGACTCAGTGTTGAGAGTACTGAATAGCTTGAAAATAAAGAATTGCTCCTTTGGACAAGGTACTGGAAGGAAGCCAGCACCTGCAGATCATTCACTTTAGCTGAGTCACTGGTTGACTTCAATACAAAAGGGAAGAAAAATCTACTTTGGCATAAAGTTTGCAATGCGTTTTTTGTGTTGCCATCCAAGCAGTTTTTTAAAATATATTATTTAACATGTAACTGTTCTGTAACTCAGTACTACAGATGGTGTGATCTTTATCACATGTGTGCAGAGGCCAAGATTTCCATATTCCATGGGAACAGTGAATGGTCTTTTGACATTTAAGTTTGTTTACACAGCCAACAAGTTAAGGAATAGTTGGGATCTCATCCGTTTCTTGTTTGGATTGCTGTAACATTCTGTGCAGTGTAACAGTAAGTAAAGGGAATTACCATACCAAGAAGAGCACCACTTCAACGAATCGGAACCAGTTACCAAAATGTGCACTTAGCCACTGACTTCCACAATTTGCATTTAGTTAGTACCTTTTATGTACAATAATGACTCGTAGCTCTTTTCGTGATGGGGATGGATGCCTAGCGGGGTGAGCAAGGAAAGGGGAAATGACTATGAGTATGGTCAAAGAGGTAGGTTTTAAGCTGGGATTGAAGACCAATATAGAGCGGGGCGAGAGGGTTACGGGAGAGGGAGTTCCAGAGGTTAGGGGTGTAGATTTGGAAAGTTCGGCCATCAATGTTGACTCACGAAGGGTGGGGAGCACGTGGAAAGTCTGATTTAGGCAAGCGGAGTGTGTGAGCAGGAGGAGATCGGAGAGATAGGATGGTGTGAGGAACTTCAAAACAATCCACTGAGCAACAGGGAATCTCCAGACATCAAAGGCAACAAATTTCACCAAAATCTGTCTTATCAACAGGTTTGGAACATTGCTCTGTGTAAATTGGCTATCTTAATTACATGGTCACTACTTACAAATATACAGTCACCAAACTTAACCGTAAAATCATATGAGTGCTTTGAAACGTCTCGGCTGTACCACATACAAGCATTATTATCTCAAAGTTCTTTCACAGGATTTTACTGTAACTTGTAGTAATTGTATATTTTGTAGGCAAACACGGCAGCCAATTTGCACACAATGTCCCTCAAAAAGCCATGCAGTGGAGGATTGTTGGTCAGGACACTGGGATAAACTCCCTTCTCTTTTTAAGTTGTGCCATGGGATCTTAATGTCTACCTGAACAGGAAGATGGGGTCTCAGATTAACATTGCATCTGAAGGAAGACACTCCTAGCACTGCACTGGGGTGTTAGCCTATGCTACATGAGTTGAGAGTCCCGACAGGGAACTTGAATCCACAACCTTCTGACTAGGAAGGGCGAGAGTGCTACCAACTGAGCCAAGTTGACACCCTTTCCGTTTACTTTATTTTGATGAAAGGCCAGCACAAAATTCTACGGAAATACTTGTTGAAAACAATGGAATAATCGGGCACCGTTTCAGAAATAAATACAACCGTTAGATCTTAGATCAAACTGGTGTATAGTTGAGAGTCTGTGAGGTGAACTTCCTGACTTCAGATTGAAAGGAGACCGAGCGGAAACATAAGTGGGTAGTAAAGGTGTGGCAACAAAAGATGGGGGGAATTCAATATATGATAAGGATGACAAGAATAGAAAATGCAGATTATTTTTACAAGAACCAGAAAATGCCGTTATCATCTTCTCCTATAGACAAGTTTGCGGCTGAACCTCCTCTCCACAAACACATTCGCATTCACCCACACACACACACCCACACACACACCCACACACACAGACACACACACCCACATACACATACTTGACCAACACATTAATACCCACCCACTCTCACCCACAAAAACACACATTTTTACCTTCAGGCCAGTCAGAAAAATGGCAGATTTCTTTGGTAGATCTTAAATTTTACAGCAGTGCTCATAAGACTGAGACCAAGAGAATTTTTGGGCAAATCTTGAGGATTTTATTGTTATCGACGGTATCAGACTAACACCTGTTTCAATCTGTACTTCTGTGTATGACAGTGCTTTCGGTCCTCTTTCCCTTCCTTACCCCGCTCAGCTGGCACCCCTAGTTTGGGTAACACGCCATTATTGTTAATCACCTTGGGACATCCTCCTGATGGGAAAGGCGCTATAGATATAAATGTATATTTGTATTGTTTTGTTTTTTGACGTTTTAAGAATAGTTGAATTTTACAGTGAGAAGGTGCTGTAGATACATGGCTTAATGGCACACCTGGCAGAATAATTACTGACAATAATGCACTCTTTTGCTTCATTTAGGTTCAAGGAGCAAGTCTAAAAGGTTGGAAGGAAGTAACTTCACTGTTCAATAAGGATGATGAGCACAGACTGCTGACTGACAGTGAGCCTAAGCGGTGAGTAGATTTCTTAGTTTCTAGATGCTGGAAATTAGTTTAAAAAGTTGCTCACTATTTACTAACCATTTTCATTATAACTCCTTGAATACTGCACGTAGTTCTGGTCACTGGTACATTAGGGGGCTGGCCAGGACTTAGAAGCGGTGCAGAGGAGAGCAACAAGGATGATCCCCAGTGTTGGAAGAATGAATTATGAGCAATGACGACTCTTCAGTCGAGAGAGAAATTGACCCAGAGTGGACCTCATAGAGGTGTTCAGAATTTTAATTGGATTCAAAAAGTAAACGTAAATATTTTAGGATTGATCATGACAGTGGAACAAGAGGGAGCCTAGGAAGCCTGTTCCACAGATAATAATAATAATAATAATAATATTATAATAATCCTTGCATTTGATATAGCGCTTTTCACGTCTTCTCGACGTCTCAAAGGGCTTCACAGAATAGACTGTAAAGTGGGTGAAACGCGGCAGCCAATTGCGCACCATCCTATTTAAGCTGCAACAAAGTATTTAAATGCGCGGAGGTTTTACGTCGAATTGGCACCTGCACACCTTGGTGCCCCCGTTTCACCTGAAAATCCCAAGCCCTTTTGGGGATCCAGTCTACCACTGCACACACATACTATTACTGATGCATAACCTTTACTGTGTGACCCACGCTATCACTGTACAGAGGTGATTCATTCTGCACTATGTTTACTGTTTGGATTTTGGCAAGCCTCAAAAAAAAATTCTGTATCATTTATCTTTTCCTTTTGCAACTTGCAGTCCCGTAAAATATTGGTTAGCGCACTTGCCTAGCAAGCGAAAGGACCTGGGTTTGATTCCCAAGTGGGGCGAAACCTTAGCCAAGTTTCCTTACTCCACACGGCTCTGTTTACCAAGCTGTAAGTAGGAACCCGGTGACAAGCCGATTAGCAGTCGCTTTCCAGAGGTAATAATCCCTCAAAAAAAATGTGTTCACTCAATCCACGAATGTTTGTGGGACTCTGCTGTGCACAACTGGCTGCCGCGAATCACCCACAAAATACACAGTCAATTAACTTTCCAATATATTCTGTGAAGCACTTTGAGACGTATCAATGACGTGATAAGGCGCTATATAAAATGCAAGGATTATTATTATTGAATTTAGTATCAAGGAAAAGGTTAGCATGGGCAACAGCAGATTTGGCTGCCCTCTTGCTTTGTTTCAAATTAATCGAACCTGGGTCTTTTTGGAGGTCTGTGTGGATTTTTATTGCTCTTTGAATATTCTCTTCCGTCCCCTAGCTGAATACTGAAACAGAGAGTACTGGTGCATCCAATGGTTCATTTCTCTGAAATGTTAACATAAAGCATGATCAGCATTGACAAAAGACTTGGGAGTTTTTTTTGCAAGAATAATGTACGTGTTCCCAATAGCCCCATAGTTTAATGTTTAGTACACAACAATACAATTTCTCCTGCCTTAAAAACACCACCTGTTACATATTTTTATGGTCTTTCCTTGAATCATGCAATTCCATTTCCTGTCTGGCATTCACTATTTGAACTCCCATATCCTATTATCAATAACTGAATAAAGCCTTTTAACATCAAACATCAACACTCTTGACTACTTGCCAATTGGTTTCTGTGTATTTTCTTTTAGGGTTGCAATACATACAGCAATCAGCAATGCATCCATCTACACATTTAAAAGCATTTCAACTCAATAATATTAGTACTCAATTTTGTTTGTGTGGGAGAACAGCAGAAGATCCATTTGGGTTTCACAGTTTCTAGTATACAACAACAACAACAACAACAAGATTCCATTTATTGAGCGCCTTTCACATCGGGAGGACGTCCCAAGGCGCTGTACAGTTGGGTCAGGACCCGAGCATTGGGGGGAAATGGTAAGGGTGAGGGGAAGGAAGGGTGGGAGCGAGGAGGGGGTAGAGAGTCGAGAGGGGAGCTGAAGGCACGGTCAAAGAGAAAGGTCTTGAGACCGGCCTTGAAGGAGGAAAGGGAGGAGGCAAGGCGAAGGCACTGGGGGATAGAGTTCCAGAGCCATAGTCTGAAACCAAAACCCAATTTCTGTCTCCTCTTTTTTTAGCATTAGGGGTGCTAAACTCGCTCACCAGGGAGGGTTGGATTAAGAAAGATCAGTTTGAACTCATTCTTACAGAACTTTACTGTCCTCTCATTACAGCATCAAGCCACTTCATAGTTGAGTCTAGTGTCCAGGCCTCACCCACCCTCCCTGTTGGGTATTAACAGGTTCAGAGAACGAGCAGGGAATTGGGTTTAGAATGAATGGCTTCTTGGTGGACCAAATAATTTTATGAAAACATGGGCAAAAATTTATGGTTCTTGCGGTGTCAGTCTGGCTCAGTTGGAAGCACTCTTGCTTCTGGGTCATAAGGGTTTTGATTTAAGCCCCACAATCCAATGCATTCATTCGTGAGGGGGAAGCAGTGCATTGTCAAAAGATCTCTCCTTCGGGTGAGACATTAAACCACGATCCAGTCTGCTTGTTCATATGGATGTTAAAGATCCCATGTCACTATTCGATAGAAAAGGGAGCTTCCCTGGTGTCCAGGCCAACAACCTCCCAGATAAAATTGATCATTCACATCATGGCTGTTTGTGAGACATTGTTAATGCCCCCAACTTCGGGAGGAGGGGGGAGGGAGTATGTTTCTGCCCCTCCGCAAAGTTTCTGTTGACAGTGAGTTTGGTGGCCCACCACATTACACTGATGCCGTGGCTTTGGGCTACTTTTGGGCGTCAAGAAGTTGCCGCCGAACACCCACACCAGTCCAGGCAAGTCCGCACCAAAATAGTACCTTGTTTCCAGTGGCTAGTGAGGCGCGATACCTGTGGGCACAGCCATAAATTAGGAAAAATTCAATAAAGAAAAAAGGTTGGCTACCACTGCTTTACTAGATAATCTGTGAAGCGTTTTATAATAATAATAATAATCCTTGCATTTGATATGGCGCTTTACACGTCTTCTAGACGTCTCAAAGCGCTTCACAGAATAGACTGTAAAGTGAATTGACTGTAAATTTGTGGGCGAAATATGGCAGCCAATTGCACAGAGCAGTGTCCCACAAACAGTCGTAGATTGAAGTGACCAATTTATTATTGTCTTTTTCTAAGGGATTATTATTAGGCGTGTGGAGTAAGGAAACTTGCCCAAGGTTTCACCCTGCCGGGAATCGAACCCATGTCCCTCGCTTGCAAAGCAAGTGCTCTAACTACTGAGCTACAAGTTCCACATGTTGGAGTCTTAAGACATGGTTTAAGATATGTTGATAAGGTGCTGTATCAAATGTAAGGATTGTGATTATTTTTATAACCGTTCTAATTGTTAACTTTCTTCTGTCTTGAAATAATTCTAAGTGATTCTCCTGACATTGCTGTTTACAACTCTGAACCTGTGCTCTCTTATTCTGCTACCTTCGAGTATCTGAAAGTATTGTTCAAGGTTTGGTTTCTCAGTTATATGAAGAACGTTGATTTTTTTTGTAAGATCGTCTCTGAAATGTTTCATTTCAAAGCTGAAGAGCCCTAACGATTTAACTTCATCGTTCCTTGTAGCTCATTCCACTAACACAGGGAATCAGCCTTGTTGCTCTTCTCTGTTTTGATCATGTTTTGACCATGACATCAGGTGGATAGCAGGTACTAGAACGTTATATCGACTTTTAAAAAAAGAAAGAAAAAGCCTTCATATGAGGTTCCAGTGAATGATTTCATAGCATTTTGCTATATAAGTTTAATGCAAGTGCTCCCAAAACATCAGCCTATAAACCACAATACAGTTGCTAATAGCATATTAATATTTTTATATTGTTCAATTGCTTCCAATTAACTTTAATTGTCTCTCCAGGTACTGTACTTCCAGCAAACTTGTACCTGCTTCCCCCAGTTGTTTCACGTCACTTTAAAGACCTCACTGGTCCTCCTAATTCCACTATTCACAAGCCCACCTCCCCACCTGCACAAAATTTGGTATACCCAGTCTTTTCCAGGCTCTCATAGAATAATAATCATAAAATCTTACAGCACTGAAGGAAGCCATTCTGTCCATCGTGCCTGTGCCGGCTCTTCGCAAGAGCTATCCAACTAGTCCCACTCACCCACTTTTACCCTATACCTCTCTCAGTAAATCAACTTCAAGGTCCTCCCCCAGAAATCCCATTACATCCCAGCATTTATGTCTGCAACCTTCTCCTACGCAACTCTTTTAATCACTCCCTCACTAGGTCATCTCAGGCCTGCTGCATCAATCTTGCTCCCTTCTGCTACCTTTGGTGGCTACTGCACCCCTAACCTTTGGAACTCATTCCCCGGTCTCCCCCCCCCCACATTCCCCCATTCCTCTGTGTCTCCTCTATATCTTTCTTTAAATCCCATCTAAAATCCTGCCTCTTCAACCATACATATAGTCACCTCACCTCCCCTCCCCCAGTTCGGTGCTCGACCCCAGCCTTGTGAAGTGCTCCAATGCTTTATTCGAGGTGATGCACATGACAGAAATACAAGTTGTCATTGTTGTTGTATTTATATTTTTATGTTTATATCAATATTTTGGGATTCTTCATCTAACATTCCTTTGGAGAGGAATGGAATTGGAATTATCACACTCAAACGTAACTCTAATATGACTCTGCTTTCAGTAATTTAACTGATGCACAAACATCTGAGAAATACAACTGCTGTGGGACCCAAAATCATTACAACCTGACCTAGTGACCTACAATGGCCTTTGGTACCTAGACAAAGCCAATAACACAGATTGTACCCAGTGGGAGACTTATATTCCATCAAACATTCTTGTGTGTTCTCTCTTTTGTTCCTGGTGATAGGTTGGGTTTCCTGTTAAATAGTTGCCTCTTTTCAACTTGTTCAACCTTTTTAATCACCAATCGTAAAACGATTCTCCAGGTGGAGTAATTTGAATAGCACAAGCGTCAATCCACCTCAAAACAGAGGCAGCAGCAGTTTTTTTTGTAGAGAAAGA